AGCTAGGTATGTACGTGTGCCCAAACCTAATGACACACCGCATCCGCTCAATACCAGAAGTCGAGTATTCAAGATCCGCTTCCCATTGTTTTCTATCGCTTTGCCTGCCTGCTGTTCTACAGCGCTGAGCAATTTGTTAGCATTTTTTAGATGAGTGCTAAAATTGCTTATGCCAGTTGATTGCGTGTGGGGCACTTGATGATATTTTGACAATTGCTGTGTTAAATGTCGACTACGGGGGAAGAAAGATATCGGGAAGTGATTCGTTTTTTATTTTAAATAATGAAAAATAGCATGCATTTGAATGCAATATGACATAATCACACTTGTGAAGCGCCGCTTTGCACTTTGAATTTTTAGACGTACTTGCAATTAGCTGCTAACAACCGAAACATATTCGATATACTCCCTTCAATTGCCTAGCCTTTCCTTGTATACAATGATTTGTTGCCAGTGCCTCGCAATATTAGTTTACCACTGGACACGAAATAGTTATATGGTATTAATTTGCTTAAGCGATAAATAACCGCTAGAAAACACCTGGCCAAATAAACTCGCCCACCCAACGTGCACCAGAATCTACCACCCCACAGAAAAATTTCAGAAATGTCAAAAAACAAAATAAAATAAAATCAAAACAATAATAAAATCTGATCAGCTGTTCAAAAAGAACGTAGCGCTGCCACCATTTTTTTGTATTCATACGCACGGTTGCATAGAGGCAATGCTTCAGGAAGTTTACGGCAGGTGACGCGCATGCCCTTATAAATATTAGCACTGTTCTTGTACGCACTGTTATTTACTGGCTGGCGTTTTTGTCTGCAAATACCGCAATAAACCAGCAAAGTAGCAAAAATTTTAGTGGATTTTTTCTGGATAGATTTTTAATAGTAACTATTTTCCACCAAAGAACGTTCTTTCTAGTGAGGTTTTTATTCCCAAAAGTCGAATTCTAGGAAAAATTTCTGAAAACGCTTTTTGGCTGTTCACACAGCGCATGAATTTCTGGCCGATTTGTCAGCCATTTTGCCAAGAATAGTTTGCTTTTTATAGCCGATTTTGCCGGAAAGTCTTCAAACACGGGCCGATTAGAATTTTTATTTTAAGCGAATATACACTGAGGGGAAAAAAATTAAAATCAAATAGAAACGTAATTGATCTTACTATAAACGTCAACGAAAGTACTGTATATTGGTAAATATTCAATTCAATTACGCGCACATTAAAATGACCGCGTTCGTACTGAAAAAGCATCCGTGAAGTGAATAATCAGGGCAAAAAAATAAAAACAAAATTTATTTTGCATGTTTGCAGCAGAATTCGAACCTGACCAGCTCCGGATACCAACAACTTGTGGCAACCATCTTTGCGCACTCAGCTACACCCAGGCACAGTGGTGCCAGATGTGAGGATTTCGCCCCATTTTGGGGATTTCTGAAACTATTTGGGAATAGATTTTTTCATTTGTGGATGTGGGGATTTGATGGGGACTTTCGTTTGGTTTAAAATATTCATATTGAAATTAAAATACATATATTTTACTGCCTGCCCTAAAAAATTTCTCAGACAAAAATTTTCTTTGTCAAATCATTATTCGTGGCAAATGCCTATTTTAATTGGGGTCGCTGTAATTGGCATTCGCCGAATGGACTGCATATATTTCTGATTTCCTTAGTGTAAAAGGAATTTTACAACAGCTAACAGGAATTTTACAACAACTAACAGAAATGACAACACATATTTTTTATATCTTAGTTAAGGGGATTTAAATGGGGATTTATAAGAAAAATGGGGATTTTTCGGGGATAACTGCGGATCGATATGGGGATCAGTGTTGCCAGAACTTTTTGGGCCGACCGGCTAGATTGGCAAAAAAAAGCGGCTAAAAACGGCTAAAATGTTTTAGTGAAAATTCACATGCTTTATTTAAATAAATCGCAAGAAACGAAAGACTAGTTAATACTATGTCTCCATTGAGAGATTTATCCATTAAGATTTAATAAATCCAGTTGATAAATCACAACCGTCTCCATTACCACAACGAGATATGTTTGACGTTCACATTTTTAAATATTTGACGTTTGCTTATGTATGATTTTATAAATACAGTTGCGGACATTGATATACAGACAGATAAAAGGAAGGTACCAAACGGAATTTCATTATATGAATTCTGAATATTATTGGCTTCTTATTCGTGGTGAATATGTATGTATAATATATAGTTTGGAAAGTGGAAAGAATGGTACCATATTCCGGATCATTTTCCCGAATTTAAGAAAAATTATCAAAACGGTAAAAAACATTTGCGGAAAGAAAGATTTGTGTAGAAATCTCTTATTCACAGGACGGAACCGAAAATCCAATCGTGGGCCTTGGGCATATCATGAATACGAACTGAGTTCTAGAGGATGTTCGGTGCAATGTTATCGAAGCAGAACCATTACCGAAATTTATAATTATAATATAATTACAAATTTATAAATATTTGTCGCAGCGCGTAAATGACTTATAGAAAGCGGAGCAGAGTCTTCTCCGATATCATGATATTACTATAAAACACTTCTTCTAAATTTTTAGTTTTTAAAATAATATTTTCTTAATTTATTACAACCAAAGTTATGTAAATATGTATTACTAATTTTCCTCCCAAACGAACAAAAGTATAAAAATACCTAAAAATACGAAAATTCATGTTTTTATTATAGGCTAGATTTCAATGTCCTCAACTGTATATTGAAAACACAAATGTCATTTGATTTATGGCATGTGAATTTGTGGTTGCCACATCCAACAAATTGTACTTATTGATCAATATTATTGAAGATTTGACGAAGATTTAACTTAAATCTACTGCCTTTCGAGATTTAATTTTATATGGTAAATCTCAAAAGGTTTAACGTCAAATCTCGTCAGAGGGCTAAATCTTCATTAAATCTCACAATGGAGACATAGTATAACACCATTAATTTATATCGAGTGTATATTCCGCATCATCAAATGAATCACTATTGTATATATCACATGAATTCATTAATTTTAAGAGATCGTCAGCTACAGTAAAATTATGGCAGCATTTTTCTTCACATTTTAAACCGTATCTTATATATAAAATAGCGTTTATCGTTTTAACGCACATTGGATTTCTTTGCTTAGTTTTTATTATATTCATTGAACTAAATATTCGCTCTACTTCTGCATTACTTATAGGCAAAACAAGAAAACTAAAAACTAGGTTGGAAAGGTCAGCAAAAGGGTTTTCTCCTAGGGCATTTCGAAATTGATAAACTTCGGCCCAAAATTTTACAGTTGAGTCTAAATTACTCCAGGTATGTAACGTTAACCGTTGCATTGCATCTCTATGGATGTTATTTCGTCGGCATTATATTTGTGTTTTTGTTGCTGTAGTTGAACAAATACTTTTGGTTTAATTACTCTTAATGCATTTCCAACCGAAAAAAGTCAATTTTTTTTAGTGTGGCGATATTTGTAGGGAGGCGTTGGCGTAATTCCTTTATTAAAGTGATAATAAAATAGCGACCATTTTCTCGAATTATTTTCTCGGCTTCGTGGTCAAAAGCGTTTGTGCTTACTTTTGTTTTTAAATACTCTTCAAAACTGTGATAAAACTGAGGAAATGGAGCAAGGTATGGTTCCAACGGGGAGCATATAGGATCAAATGTGTCCGCGCTAATAACCACTAGGGAGCATAGATGCGAAAATAAAACATTGAGTTCATTAAAAATCTTCATTGGGTCTGCATTATTGCTTTCGAACAACTTGTTTACTTTTTGCACCTGAAAATTAGGCAAATAGTAAAATCGGCTAAAAATGGCTAACTTTTTTTTACAAACCGGCTAACAAATCGGCTGCCGGCTAGATCGAATTTTCTCCGGCTAGATGCTATCAAAACCGGCTAAATCTAGCCGGAAAACGGCTAAAATGGCAACGCTGATGGGGATGCGCTATACAAAACTTCTGGCAACACTGCCCAGGCATATAAATTCGCTTTCAAATGTTGAATATCCATCAACACCACAGCACGCGATTTGTACGGATAATCATGTATGGATGACTGTGTTGTTGCCGCTCTCAGAGCAGCGCTCTGCATGCTTGGATGCGTATGTACACTTACATATACATACTCAGATGTGAACAGTCAAATACCTGCGTAATAAATTTTGTATGAAAATATTATTTTTAAATACGAACATTTTTAAACGATAGTCAAATATAAATTATGAAAATTCTGCAAATTTTAACCAAAATTTTTAACTTTTTAATCAGCATCTTCAGAAATTTAATATAGAATTAAATGGTGTTTTTTAAGCAACCAGCCACATTTCAATAAAAAATAATAATAAACATTAAATAAACTAAAGAAAAATAGTCAAAACCCACAAAACTTCGCCTCCCAGTTTATATCCACTCTCTCTTTTCGACGTTTGTTTTGATTCTTTATATTTATTATTTGAAATTAAATATAAAATTTCTATTACAACCAGAAAAACTAAAGAATGGCAAATATTAAATAAAATTATATCTCGTTATGGTTGGATCCATACACATGCCTGTCCAAGCACATCAACTTTAAGAGGGACTTGGATTACTTGACTTGAATATGTACTCATTTATGCATCAAATCCACGCCATGGTAGTTGAAAAGAACACTGCGGTCATGAAGATCTTCAGCTCATTTCTCTGCAAATTGGCCAGCGACACTTCTTCACTGCATATACATATTTTTTTACGCGAGACTAACCGACACCTCGATTTGACGGCGGAAAAATGAATACGTGCATATGTGTGTATGTAATCATGCGTTCAAAAATATTTTTTAAATTTTCGAAATCTCAATTTTATTATTCTTGTTACCCAGTAGAACTTGGGAGCATCGTACGATTGCTCGGTGAGTACTCCCTTGGGAGTATACGAATACTCCCCATTGCTCCCTATGCTTCTGTGTATAAGCATGTAATTTTGTATACTCCCTTTAACATTGGATGTCCTAGGAGGGGGAGTAATCCCTTTTACCTCCTAAACAAGCAATCGGGGAGCACACACAGAATTATCATCCCACAAACCTCCTAATGGAGCAATACGGGAGTACTCCCTTAGTTACCTCCCAGAAACCTCCCAAAAAGACAACAAGGGAGTGCACATAGAAAACATCCCACATTCCTCCCTAACGAGTAGTAAGGGAGTACTCCCATAAGAGTCATCCCGGAAGGCTCCTGTACGAGTAATAAAAGAACGTCTCTATTCTCCCGAATTCCTCCTCATGGAGTAATGGAAGACTACTCCCACATTGCTCCATAACGAGCATTTTACATAAGCTAAAAAGATTTTGCTTTTTACGCAATTCATTTATTTAATTTTTTTAATCATATACATATATACATACTTATGCACATAAATACAAGATTTAAGCTGATTATTACAAAAACAGAAAAAACATAAATAATTATTATTACAATATTAACTAAAATTAGAAAACGGATATCGAACAGTAATGACAAACTCAAACATTATACATACATACATATATACTTTTATACAATCCACAAGATAAGTGTGGCGAGGATGATTTCCTGGAAA